GACTTGAGTAACAGTTGAGTTTGAACTGTTGTAATGTATGGACATTATAATATTAGATCGCTTGGTGCGATGTATTTGGTCGCACAGTGCGACATGAGATATTGTATAATTGGATATATGTATATAGATATTACTATAAAACTTTGATTTTCATTTCTTTTATTTTTCTATTTATAGTCTCAATGGAAACATTTTGAAGGTTATGCCAATAATCAAAGTTAAGCCAGTGTGATTAATGTTTTGCCGTCTATTATAGAATCTTCTCAAGCCAGTACTACTTATAATAAATATCGTATTTATTTTGAAAAATTTCGGAAATGGTGTGTTTCGTACGGTCTACAGTATTCACCAGCTACATCAACTACTATTTCGCTGTAAATTGGTGGACTTATTTAACAAGGAATTAGTGTGTCTGTTTTGGATTCATGATAAAAACTTTTAGGTACACTCCTTGTTCAGATGAATTTCTTTCTTTGATTCTTGAGGGTGGTACAAGAATTTTAAGTAAGCCTAAAAATAAAAGGAACCCATCACACCAGAGATTTTACAAATGATTATTTCTAAATATGGTACAGATAATGATTTGTCTAGTTTGATAATTTGTGTGTTATGTTTATTATGTTTTTCAGGTTTCTTAAGGTACAGTGAATAAACTGCTACCAAAGCGAAAAATATTACTAATTTTGACAGTTATATGTCTATTCTTTAAGAAAAGAGTAAAACCGATATTTATAGGCGAGGTAGTTCAATTATTATTTCTAAAACAGGAGGCAATCTTTGTCCCGTTAAGTGGTTGTTAAAATATTTACAGTTAGCTAATATTGAGCTGGATTCAGATCAGTATATTTTCCGTGCATTGTGCTATTTAAAAACACGAGGTATTCATAAGTTATGCAGCAAAAATTCTCCACTTTCATATACAAGGGCACGAGAGATTTTGCTTGAAGCTTTTGAATCTATAGGATTAGATAAGAGTAAATTTAGTCTACACAGTTTAAGAAGTGGTGGAGCTTCTACTGCGGCAAATATTTTTGTATTTCAGAGAGATTACGTAAAGCTCACGGTCGTTGGGCATCCGATAGATCTAAAAATGGTTACATTAAAGACAACATACAATCACAAATGGCATTTTCTTTGAATCTTGGCGTTTAATTCATATTTCATTTATTCCTTTGATATGTCGAAATTCCTGCGAGAAACTTAACCTATACCTAGAGTTTTGTTTTATTTATCATACCAAGGATTTTAGTAAAGAAATGTTTTACATTCGGACGAGCATGGAGCATGGCGATTAATTAAATTTCTTTTCGTTGAGACTTGGGGTTTTTCCCTGTGTTATATTTATACTATTTATATGTTCAAAACTGGTAAGTGAGAGTAGTTGTATAGCGGGTTCTTGTTTTGAGATATAAATATATATGGGTAATATATGCACGTGAAATACTTTGGCGGTTTAAAAGGTGGGGTTCCGTTATATTATATAAAGAGAAATTGGGGTGTCATTTCATCGAAAGGTGATCACAGTAAATACGACTGTCAGTTTGCCGTTTATTGTCGCATATTAATTTATGATTACAATATTGAGTTTGATTTAAATGTATTGGATAATTTTGTTTGTATTTTGAATATTGTTGTTATAATATATTGGTTTATAATGTTATTAAACATTGTTTGCTAGAAAAGAGAAAAGTTACTGCAAGCAACTAAACCTATACCTAGAGTTTTGTTTTATTTATCATACCAAATATTTTAGTAAAGAAATGTTTTAAATTCAGACAAGCATGGCGAGGGAGAATTTAAGTCAATGATAATACAGCTTGTATCGGCATGATTTGTATTAATCTGGGAGGACATTTGTATACAACTTAACATTTGAACCTACATCTTTATTAATGCTGAACACTGTTATCTGATAAAATTTATTTTAAGTCGTCTGTATTTTGAAATATTATTTATACAAACAAATGCTGACAAACGAAACCTTACAAATTATAATTGAGACAAGTTGAAGAACTGTTTATTAATTTTTTGGACTCTCGGGTTCGACTGTTGTTTGCGTTTTAATTTGTTTTTATAATGGTCCTGGGGTTATTTTTTGAAATATGCTTTCAATTATTCTGATCCTCTTGGTATTGTCTCCCTTTTTATAGATGGATATCGATTGCATCTCATATTACATTTCCGTTTCAATAATATTTAAGATATCCATTACTAAAAAGCTGTTACTCTTAGATACAGGTATAATAAACGCTTTACTACAACCATATTCCTAAATATTTTGTATTGCACAGGCATTTTAGTTCACCTGCACATAGGGCTATCGCCATCACTTGGTTTCCAGCATCCTCGCCCTCCATCGTCGTCGTAAACTTTGTCAAAAATCTTCTCCTCTAATACTACTGAAAAAGTAAAATAACAAAAATACCGAACTCCAAGGAAAATTTAAATCGGAAAGTCCCTTATCAAATTGGAAAATCAAAAGCTCAAACGCATCAAACTAATGGAAAACAACTGTCATATTCCTGACTTGGTACAGGCATTTCCTCATGCAGAAAATGGTTGATAAAATCTGGTTTTATAGCTAGCTAAACCTCTCACTTGATTTACAGTCGCATAAAATTCCATTATATTGACAATAATGTGTGAACTGAACAAACAGACATAATAGGTAAAATGTCAATATTAGGGGTACAGCAGTCTTAATCTTACTAACTTTAAAAACAAACAAATATTGCAACAATGAAAAAAACAAAATGGCATATAGACAAACCACATAAGACAAAATGAAAGACAAGAATACAAAAAATGACCACAGCACAACAACACATTAGCGGGATGCATAAGTACCGAGCCACGTCAAAAGGATATTATCAAAAATGGACTAAACAGTAAAGGTTAATGATTTACAAAGACAAATAAAAGAATACTAGAATACATAGTTTAGATGATAAACAACGTCAGTACCTAGAATCTATACTTCAAGACCATAATGTATTATTTGTGAAGTTGATACGGAATATTTATAAATAGGTTTTGGTATCTTCCGATGAACCAATTTCAGCCAAACTTTTGGGTGATTGATCTGTATAGTACCTAGTATAACATATTTCTTTTTTTTCGCAGTCATTCAACCCATGGCCGCCATGGCTAAAATAGATTTCTGGTAAATGCATTAAGTATCTTATATCTTAAAAACGATACTAGATAGAAAAATCTAATAGGGGCAAAAATGCTCAGAATGTTAATATCTTCCTTCTTCCGTTTTGCTCCAAAATTATCAGATGACTCATTATAGGAGTTATTGTCTCTTATCTTGAAATCATAATAGTTAATATAAATCTACAAACATCCTTATATGACCGAAACCATCGGTTGACTTCTTTTAGGAGTTATTGCCCTTAAATGACTATTGTTCACAAATTTTTGAGTTTTTGCCTATTATTTTGAAAACTATGATAGAAAGGTAGAAACTATAAAAAGCAAAAATGAAAAGCAATACAAGATTTACAAAAATGCTAAATGGTTGAAACCATTGGATGACTACTTTCAGGAGTTTTTGCCCTTTAATGACAATTTTTGACTACTTTTCAAGTTTTTGCTTTATATCATGAAAACTATAATATATAGGTAGAAACTGTCAACAACAAACATAATCAGCAATACAAGACCTAAAGAAATTTTAAGTGTTCGAAAACATTGTATCACTTCTGATAAGAGAAATTTTCCTTAAAAACAATAATATTTATTTATTTTCGCATATTTGCTTTTAATCTTGAAAAAAAAGGTGTACACTGTTAACAGCAAAAATGATCGGCATACAAGATCTTTAAGAATATCAATATTACATTATTAGAGAAAACATTGGCTGACCCCTTACAATAGTACATAAAGTTGTCCTTAACTCTTTACCGTTTGCCACAGATTTGCATTTTTCCCCAAAAAGTTATGAACAAATTTTAAACATTTGTTACTTTTTTAATACTTGATATAGTTTTATCAACTAACGTTTTTTTTATAAACACCAGTTTTTTTTTATTACAGTCAGTCGTCAGTCGTGAAATATCACGTGCCTCACGATAAAATAGCCGAAAATTGTAAAAGTTTGATAAAGATTAAGTGATTATTTGAAGATGTGGCAAGGAAATAGTGTCAGAAAATTATGAAAGACAAAAGGGTGTAGTTCTTTTAAACAACTACATGTAGGACGCGTGGATGGTATAGTTATATGCAAAACTTAATTTTAAAAACCCATCTAGTCATACGGTGCTTTTGGTCAAACTTGACATTTTCGAGTTGACTGGCGGACAAAATAGCTCAATTGTATAAGTAAAATCACACGACATTTCTCATGCTTAAAATTACCTAAATAATAGAAACCCAATAACTTTGCGTATTTCGCTAATGTCGTTTTTCTGCGAAACCGATGTTAATGAATGAAGTAAACAACTGTCGACGATCTAAGGCGAAAGATGGGGAAAAAGAAATTGACTACAGACAATGTATTTTTTCTTTTTGCAATTGAAATTAAAGTCAATTAAAGTCAATTAAAGTCTTTTAATATGGTCATATGGGAAATAAATATTTCAACTTGCATCATCATCCTTGCGGGGTTTGAACCAGGCTCGTTTGGTTATCAGGCCGAGGTGTGTCCACGCGGCTACGGATCCAGACTTCACATTAAGGAATTAATCTTCAAATTTGTTTTTTGTATGATTCATACTCTCATTGATTAAGGTTATCATAATACTTTTGTCCTTGATCATTGCGTCTGGTATTATTTTGAACTGATATCATTTAGGACACATTTCGCATGTTTCCTTTTGGTTTGTTGCTTGATCGCTTGTCTCAATTCATAAAGTTTAATTACATTTCATTGATATTTTATATTAATACAAACATATGTTTCAGATTTATATTTTCATATGAAATATTGCAACGGAATATCATTGGATAATAAACTGTGTGACAGTGCTTGTTGTAATGGTAAGTTTTACATCAACAAGAGCTGTAATTTACTCTTTTTAAGTTGTCCAATAATTTAAAACAAACACACTTAAAAGACACATATAATATAATTTAACCAATCTTCTGAAAAATATACGTGTAATTGTATTGAATCAAATTGAATACGTAGTATATAAAATGTATCAATATAATATTGTTATGCTAATGCTTATGCTTAATTTAACAGTTACTTTTAAAAGTTTATTTTAATACTTGTTATTATTTTTACCAAACAAAGTTGTTGCGCTGAAATTTTGTTCAACTGAGGACCATCTTGTTTTAATTTGTTTAAATGTCAATAACTAAGTTAGTATTTGTGTTCAATTAATTTTCTATGCTCACCATTTGTCTATGGCTACATACTCATATGTTATTGTATATGTTTTCCTTACAAAGATAACACATTTGAATTATGCATCATTTGGTTCCATTTTTCATAAACAAACATTATTCATTTGTAAATGTATTTTCTTTTTATCTTGTTTTACATCAAATGGACCTTTATTGGGCGAGATGCATGTAATAATATACTGATTAAATTTCCATAACCGACAGAACTTCCTCACATTTGGTCTGGATTACCAGAAACGCTGTGTAAGTGAGCTTATATATTTTGACCTCTGTTTACAATTGTTTATATAATGACCTTAAACGAATCCATATAGCAGAAAAACATATGTTCAAACGTAAGCATGGAGACAGCGTGCAATTAAAAACAAAAAAATAAAAACAAAGCGCGATTATTGCTTGACAATCAAAATGGACGAATCATTACGAAACATCTAGTATGTAAAGCAATTAAATGATCGATTTTAAAAGGCTGTTCTGCAAAAGCCATAAAATAGGAGTTAAGCACAACCAGAACACAGGGTTGTTGTCGTCTTTTCATACTTTTTTTTCATAATAATAGGTTATTTGACTCGTATTAGCGCAAACAACTTCAATGGTTCTATACCAAAATGTTAATTTTGAGTGTCGATGTAGTGAATTTGATTTCTGCCTTGGACTTTAAAACTGCTATTTTCTGTTTATCAGCTAGTCATGCGGCCTTTATTAGTAAAAAATGAAGACTGTAGGCTCAGAGCAAAATAATGTTTCCATTCGGACCGTGAACAAGCATGTTGAAGTCAGGCTCAATGGTGCGATCTTATGCAAGGCAGGATGATATTTATATCTCAATTATATAATGTAAAATGAACATAAATATGCATGTTTTTTTTTCTGGTGAATGTTTTCACGAGTAAAACGTCCGGCCAAAAAGGGGACATTAGATTCGATGTTCTCAGTAGGACGTGCAACTCTCTCTCTACGTTAAAGAAATCGTACAACTTTCCGAGGAGCCCGAATGTAACTTGTAGGAATGGTAAAATTCTGCCCCTATCCGACAGAACCTCATTTCCTAGCGGCAGTCTAATATCGTAGCCTTCTCATTCTTAATGTCTTGACATATTTGCCGCTGGATGTTTAGGAAGTAACAATTAAACAGTCAATCTAGAACTAGCTATTCTTTTGTATGAGAAAGGTAGTGCAGTAATTCTACGAGAGATAACTTATCTTCTGTATTCGTGAAATTACTGCTTCATAAGATTGCAAGGTCTTTAAATAAGACGTAAGATGCAAAGGGACATTTTCAAAATCTATTAGTCCAACTGTCAACGTCTTGGCAAAAGATCAACGACGACCAAATGAGAAAGTGCAACAGACACGACATAGAAAACTAAAGACTGGGCAGTACGAACCACACCAAATATACACATTCACCTTAAATGATTATTAACTGTCATACACTTTGCGTGATCTAGGGATCATGCACTTAAGTAAATTAGCAAGGCATATTAAAAGTTAACTTGTGGTTAAGTTCTACATGGAATACTATATACATAGAAGGTTTCGAAATATATCAAGGTTAACATTGCATTGTAAATATGTTCGCTGTAGCACATTTTTAAAACCGCGATTACATTGTTAGTCGACATGCAAAATCATACACGAAATTCTACCTTATCTCTAATAGGGTATACGTACGAAATAATGTCACTCAAAACATGGGTTGCTGTTATCTCAATTTAGTAAATGTAAATACAAATATACCGCTATACCGCAAACGATATAATTATGTTGACTGCTAAAGCTAGCAGAAACTTGTTCGTGTCTATTTAATTTATACTGTTATCTATCTACATATTAATATTATAATAATTTAATAAATTCTCTATGTAAACTATCTATCTGCATTTTATCGTTTAATGACGAACACTAAGAAATTGATATTATATATTCTAATGTCGGATAGGTATTCCATTTTTCATTAGGTCGTGATCGAATTACTTGTTTTCAGTTAATTTTGGTAAATCGTCTTAATGTCTTGAGTCTGTTTAATGATTAATTGATTAGAAAATGCTACAATTGAAACAAAATATAACTTTTGAATACGAATCTCAAATAAGAACTCGTTTTATATATTAATGTATTTATTTATTTATTTATTTATATTTATTTTTGGATGGGGGTCATCGGTATCATAAAAATAAAGCACTTGATCGGAAAATTATTTCATATTGTTGGCATTACTTTTATTTTTCCATTTCAAAGTAGGACACCATATTCCACTTTAGTAATCACTTGATCGTAAATTGGAGACAGCGAGTCAGTTGCAAAATGTATGTAAGTGATTCTCAAAAATTTAAATTCTAAATTGCAAACATTCAAATTTAGTCGCGGTGTCAAAACTGCTTTAAAATACATTATCGCGTATGTGTTATAGCTTTAAAAGATGGATTCGTATTTTTGATTTTCCATTTACGAAAGTTTGTATCTACGATTTAGTGTTAACGAATAAAAAAAGAATCTGTAAACTTGAAAACGAAAAAAAAAGTTTTCTATATTTATCTATTCTTTATTGTCCCCCGCGCAACGCGTTGCGGGGGACATAGAAATACCGGGCGTCCGTCCATCCGTCCATCCGGTCTTGTTCGAGTTCTCACATGTACAATTCTTGTCAGAATATTATAAAACTTACATCATAAGTTTATATCAACAATGTGTCGGACGAGTTTGAAAATCAGTGCCGATCAATAATCCTTTAGAGAGTTATGCCACTTGGAAACATTAATAAGATGAAAAATTGCATCATTAACGCAATCATGTGTGCAATTCTTGCCAGATTTTTATGAAACTTATATTGTAGGTATATATAAGCTATGTCTCGCACGAGTTCGAACATCAGCGCCGATCAATAATTTTTTAAAGAGTTATGCCGCTTGGAAACATTAATTAAATGGAAAATTGCATTGTTAGCGCTCTCATGTGTACAATTCTTGTCAGACTTTTATGAAACTTATATTGTAGGTTTGTATCAGCAATGTCTAGGACTCGAAAATCAGTGCCGATCAATTATTTTAAAAGAGTTATGGCCCTTCGAAATATTGATAATATGAAAAATTGCATTGTTAGCGCTCTCATGTGTACAATTCTTGCCAGATGTTTATGAAACATATATTATATGTTTATATCAGCGATTCTTCGGACGATTTCTAAAATCAGTGCCGATCAATTATTTTTAAAAGAGTTATGCTCCTTAGAAATATTAAGTATATGGAAATTTGCTTTATAAGCGCTCTCACATGTACAATTTTTGGCAGATTTTTATCAAATTCATATCAGGTTTAATAATATCAGTAATGTTACGGACAATTTCGAAAATAATTGCCGATCAAATATTTTTAATGAGTTATGCCCCTTGAAAATATTAAATATACCAGAAATTGCTCTTAAGTCTCCAACTCTCTAAGATAATTTTAAAAAGTTTTAAAAAACAAAAAACAAAAATGTTTAAGTTATTGACCATGAACAAATAAAATATATGCAACGCGGCGGACATTTGAACTCTGTTCTTTTATTTTGATATGTTTCTATCTGATATTTGCGTTGTCAGCAACAACGATGTCCTTTAACTCACGATGTTTTTTATTGCTATGAGAAAAAAACATAACCCAAATCCCAGATAATCATATGGGTAGCTCTTAAAAGGTAACCCAAATTTGGTTCAAATATACGTACAAAAAAGTTCAAAACGTAGATTTATGAACTGAGAACATTTACAAGGAGATGTGGGGTATGAATAAAAAAAAATATATACCAAACGACAAATATAAAACCAAAGAAATGGGAGATTATTTAAATAAAGTTTTCAACAATCGAAAGGTGTCTATACACTAAATTGAGCTCTCATTGCTGCTAGTCTTGAAAATGTTTTAAATGAATTATATGAAAGATCAGTTACCAATTATATTATCTCATTAACAAATACTTATTTGAAATAAAACAAACACAACCATATACTAGGTTTTGGACTTAGAACATGTGGCGAGGTTACAATGCACTGACATCTATAGTATGTTAGTGTCTGAGTGACCCGTGTTTCCAGTGGTTAGTGGAACTAAAGTTTAAACTCTTTTTATATATTTTATGTTGCGGAAAAACATTTTTATATCAAAGAAATGACGAGATACGGTATGATTGCAAATTAGTCAACAATCCACAAGATTTTTATATCCCATATCCTGTTAAAGCATCTTAAATTTTGATTACGTGGAGAGCTGTGATTTCGTTTCCTAATAAAAGTTTGCAATGTGGTTTATATGTTTGTAAAAATCTTTAGAACACATGAATATTATGTTAAAAGTAAGCATTAAATGTTGTAGATGTAGATTAAGTCTTATTTCATTTTATTTAGATCGTTCTTAATGCAAGTGTTGAAAACGTGCTTCACAATAATCCAGCTAAATAGCCATTTGGAATACCAAAGGTACTAATAAAGATTTAAATGTGTTTGTGTTATTCGTTTCCTTATTGTTAGATTAGAACGATAAAATATTGAAGAATGCACAAATAGAAAATTCTGTTTCTTATCACAAAAACTATTTTCATTGTTATTACATGTATAATTAATCAAATGATATGTTAGAAACCTGCAATGAATAATTAATTGAAAACAGACTTCAACAGGCAATATGAATTTGGTATTTTTTATTGTGTGTAATGATTGCCAATGAGGCAAAATTCCGCCAGACCAAGTGATATAAATGTGTGTAACTATAGGGTATAGTACGTCTTTCAATAATGAGCAAACCCCATACCATATAGTCAGCTAAATAAGGTTCCGACATAACAAAATGTAAAACAATTCAAACGAGAAAAACCATCCCTACTTATGAACAAACCAATAAACGAATAAAACATATATAACAGACAGAGACCAACGACAACCACTGTATTACTGACGCCTGACGTCTAACAATAGATATAAGAAGATGTGGTATGAGTGCCAATGAGACAACTCTCCATCCAAGTCAAAATTTATAAAAGTAAACCGTTATAGGTCAAAGTACGGTCATCAACACGGAGCCTTGGCTCACACCGAACAGCAAGCTATAAAGGGCCCCAAAAAAAATTATTAGTGTAAAACCATTCAAACGGGAAAACCAACGGTCTAATCTATATAAAAAACGAGAAACGAGAAACACTTATGAACCACGTCAACAAACGACAACTACTGAACATCAGATTCCTGACTTAGGACAGGTGCAAATAATTGCAGCGGGTTTAAACGTTTTAATGGTACCAAACCTTCACCCTTATCTGAAACAATAGTGTAACATCACGACATAGAAAGACACACTATAAATTATCAATTGAAATGGCTTAACTCAATCAAAAGACATATTAAAACCAGTGACCATACACTGAACAAATAAATTTGATCTATGATACAATGTTAATACAAAATTAATAAACTAAGGGAAGAATAATTAAAGTAACAAGTTATACCGCTGTGAAATGTTAAACAATTTAAGAAAAACAATATGCTTGAACAAAAATATCAGCCATTTGCAATTACTATAAACACAGGTAAATGAACATTTTGTTGTTAGGTATACGTGTACAGTTCAAATGGAGAAAGGAAATATTTTTACAAAATAAATAATTTTTATGTTCATAGTACGAAGAAGTGGAAATATATAGTAATACCAAACACTTATCGAAGCTGGTATATAGACCAGATATAACCCTGAATGAGTAAACATTAAATAACAAAAAAGCATTACAATTAGTATAATAGGTCAAATAAACAAGAAAATACGATTTGAGAGTACTCGCAGTTACTGACAGCTAGTTAAAAGCCAAAAACAATTAATAATAAAAAAATCATGCATCAGAGACTAAAATCAACTAAAACACATCCCAGGGATTTAGTATTTTAACGTCATGGACAGTCAAAGAAGACATGACTTGTGCAATGCCAAAAATAAATGTATCGACAGGCAGTAGGATAGTTAGGAGTTAATCTCTTTATAGATCAAAATGAACGTGGGTGTGTCTTTATACATCCCGTTTAAAAAGAACACAAATTTAGTTATGTTTTAATTTGCTGATGAAAGGATCGATATTAGTGCCAATGTATACTATATTCAAAGATCTATTTACAACATTGGTAAGATAACCATTACTAATAAGTTTGTTTAAAGGTTCGATGAGTTTACACGGATCACATAGTGATTTCCGCGCTTTAAGTACAATATTACCGTAAAATTTAGGATGTGAAGTACCGTTTTTTATCAGTTTTCTACAGGTACAGCCAAATTTACTAATCAAATCTTTGTATCTATGAAAGAATTTAGTAAAAGTTTTACGTAAATTATGGTAATAAAATCCCTGACTTAATAATTTACCAGTGATTCATTGATTACGTTCGTTAAAATCTATGACATCACTACACACACGGGCATAACGAACCAGTTGGGATATATATACACCGTATGATGGAGCCAAAGGAACATCGCCGTCTAAAAAAGGAAAATAAACAATAGGGAATGAAAAGTCGTCTCTTTTGTCGTAAATTTTAGTATGGAGTTTTCCTTTAGAGATTGAAATGTCAAAATCTAGAAAAAGACAACTACTGCTGTTTATGTTAGATTTAGTTAAAGTAAGTTCTTTTGGGTAAATTTCGGTAGTATATTTAGAGAACTCTGGATTATTTAACGAAAAAATATCATCCAGATAACGGAAGGTATGTATCAACCAAATGTATCAATGACGTGTCTTTACTGAGTTTGGTCATAAACTGAGAATCATAGCAATACAGGAATAAATCTGTTATCAAAGGGGCGCAGTTAGTGCCCATAGGAATACCTACTACTTGTCGATACACTTTATCGCCGAAACGTACATATATGTTGTCCAGGAGAAAATTTAAAGCTTCAATCGTATCTTCACATTTCCAGTAAGTGTATCTAGCATACTTTCTAGCATGCTTTAAACGAGTTACAGCAAATAAATTTACAATGAGATTTTTCAAAAGACCATTTAATCAAATATGAAAACTTTTTCTTGATAAGATTGTGTGGAAGTGTAGTATAGAGAGTAGAAAAATCATAACTGTCAACAGAATTAAAAGGACCATCAAAAGCATGTATTTTATCTAAAACCTCTAAAGAATTTTTAACACTCCAAAAATAATTAATACCATTATTTTCATAAGCTTTATTACAAAAGTTAATAACAAGTTCTTTGATAGTAGTAAGGGAAGTAGTTAGAAGCACTGATAGATTGGTAGTAGAACACTTACTAGATGCGGAGATGAAACGAAATTTAAATGTTTTTTTGTGCAATTTAGGTAACCAGTACATAGTAGGGACTTTCAAATGTTCGGAAGAGGCTTTAAGCTGGGTAGTGGCAGTGATATGCTTGTTTACAATTTGACTCTCTGTGGAGCGTACGGACCTGAATGTAGAAGAATTTATAAGCATACATAGAATGTTGAGGAAATGAATATGTTTAAAAAGTATCAACGCTCAACCTTCACATAACCTGGGACAGTTATTTAACAGCACAATATAAGAACAAGCTAAGCAAATCACTTGAAAACAGGTTTGACTTTTCAGATCGACAAAAAGCACATACAAAATAAGCAAACAGACTAATAAAACAAAGTAATAATCTAAGAACACTCGCATTTATCAAAAGCTAGTTCAAAGCCAATTATAACTAATAATCAAATCATGTTTCCCAGATTAAAATATCAGTCAGTACACTGTCAAGAACAGACCATATACAACAAAAACATTATATAAAATTTAAACGTTCGTCATATGACACTAACCTTGTTAAATTTTTCGTGATCAAAGCATGATAAACGTGTTCATACATGAATGAATTAGACAAAGATAGTGCTGGAACAGTTTGGAAGTTGCATTCGAAACATATGTAATTAAACATAAACGTACACACGATTGAATATGTTAAATTACTGTAGTGCAACGTTGAATGAGCCTGTGTTAACTTTTAGATAAATTGGTGTATTATTAAATTTATTTAAGTTAGCTTTGAATCTTAAAGTATATCTTGTACTCTTTGGTTACTTTTAAGTTAAACGAAGTACCTTAGGCTTTTGCTTGTTGAAAATAATGTAGTGCATTTTTTAAAGAGAACTTTGTTTTTTTTTTACAGATTTTGTCACGCGTTTTAAAGTGCCTGTGGCATGGAAAACATGTATTGTAGAATACAACAGGAGCCATATGAAATCCATTTTGTTGAAAGAATACTTCTCCAAATATAAGAAATGTTTGGTTTACAACTAGATACAAAATTCGTTCTTAAAAATGCTTATATACAAAAGCTAGTACTGCTGTGTAATGTTATGTTCTTATTTTTCACATTTTGAAATGCAATTGATTACCTATAACACATGGAATAACATACGACAATAACGTTTGGTACTAGTATGAGAAATTTTGATTTATAAAAATGTGCCGTTAATGATAATCTATGTATGCTACGTTCTACTGTACATAAAAAGAAGATAACAAAATGTCAATCCTTCATTTGAATTAAGTTGTTATATATACATGACTGTGAAAACTATTTTCCCTTGTTTAATGAGGACAAATATTTATGTCTATCGAGGACTTTTTGTCTAACTTTGTTTAACTAAGACGAAATTTCCTGCCTTTTTGTAATTCGGTTTGTTTTAAAGCTTATTTTCTACTTATTCTCAGGTTAATTTCAACATTTAAGGTCTGAGCATTTATGAAGACAATTAGATAGCAGAGGAGACTTAATAATTTTGGGTTACATTTATTGACGTAGGTTTGAAATTAAAAAAGAAATAAGTCCGCGTAAAATGAATTTAAGAATATGAACAGTCTGATCCATACAAAAGGTAGCCAGGTAAAACTATACTATTCAATCTACCTATAGCTTGGAATGTAGCGACTGGTATTGAAATGGTTTTGACGTAACGATTTAATTCTAAACAAGTTAAGTTCTTAGAACTTGATTTAAAAAAAAAACAAACTAGTTTCCTGTGTCCAAGTCTGTAGTAACGTTTTACATTTCATTAACCGTAGTTTATGTAGTACTGGTCAATCATTAAAATATTAGATAAGTCGTCTCGATTCAACATAGATAACTCAAAATCTTTACTTAATTCTTTCATATATACACAAATGTGGATTGGGCGTTGGACCGGTTGAAACCTTTTAGCAATTTTGATATCAAATCCTACTTTAAACGGCAATACAGTTTATACACCTTGCAAATTTAAATATGATTCTAGAAACTTATTGTTCCTATGAATAAAGCAATCAATTCATCATTGTATCGAGGATTTGAATGTTGTCTTTATTTATACAAACATTGATTTTATCTTAATAGTATTAAAAATCATTGAAAATAGATTGGTATCCTGGGTCCTATATCCAGCAGATACATATATTGTGGCATGGCACAATATCATGTTTTTCTCAGAGTGCTTATGAAGTCTGAAGTCTTAACACGGTTTGTTAGGAGTATACTATTTCATGTTTGTCTTCGAGAACATGGTTTATTTATTAGTTGGAATAGAGTTTTGAATTAGCTTTCATTAACTACGAGAACTTTCAAATCGGTAGTATGTGTCCGTTGTCCTTTGTCGTTTTGCTATTTGTTTTTTGTGGGTAGTTAGTTACGGTATGACAAGATAAGCGCTTTGCAATTGTTTTTTTATTATTATTATGTTGTGTCGTTACATTACTATTCATAGTTAAGAATATTGAGCTCTAAGAAAGAAGTTAAACCCCACCATATTGTTCATGTGCCTTTCCGAAGAGAGGAACCAGTAACCCAATAGTTGTCGTTGTTTGCTGTCTGCCATATTTGTTTTTCGTGCATTGCTGTAGTATAATTGAAATCATTAGTTTTCTCCCATTTTATCCTCCATGGCCTTGTATATCTAACTATACGGTATTGGTGTTGTTATTGTTAATTGTTGAAAGCCGTCGCTGAACTCTAATTGTTGCAGATTTGACACCCGGGCCTACGGTCATAAAACTTAACTCTGTACTCGGGAGTACGAAATTTGTGCTCGAAACACCAAATCCCGTATTTTGATTGGTTAAATTCTGAATCTGAGTATAATCGCAAAACTTGGTATTTGAGGAAAGATTGAAAACGATACCACATCTCCTTGAATAAATACTTGTGTTTGTCGTTATTTGTAGTACTTGTTTTTGTTTGTTTTTATTTAGAGGTTAATGCGCATCTTAATTTTGTGCCAAATCTGTAAACAATTGAAAAAGCTTGTATTTGTACTTGGCCATTGGTCGTCGTTGATAATTTTATGCAGAATTGGTCTTACCTTAAGATCATTTAAAACTTCCAATAGCTCTTCAACTCAGTATACTTTATTTTGCATTTTTGTCTCCCCTTGACGGAGTCAAAAAGAGAGACAATGTATTAGTTTGTTATTAGGTCTAGTTTATGGTGAATCACTAGTGGTAGGTCAATGATATTTGGTATGCAGTTGTATAAACATTGGCATATCTCATTTCCATATAGGTTATTTGGCTCCGCCCCCTCAGTCATGGTCTATTGACTTTGAAACTTTTGCTAAGTTTACATGTATTAGTTTGTGATTAGTCAGATCAAGGAGAGCCGTTAGTGGTAGGCCAATGTTGTATAAGTATTAGCATATCTCATTTCCATGGAGAATATTTGGCCCCGCGCCATCTCAGTCATCGTCTTTTGACTTTGAAACTTTTACTTTGTTTACATGTATTAGTTTGTGATTAGATCAGTTTAAGATGAAACGCTAATGTTATTATAAGTCAAAGATATTTGGTATGCAAATTTATTGGCATTTGCAAGTCTCGTTTCCATGGAGATTATTTAGCCCAACCTCCTCATCATGGTTCAAAAACTTTTACAGAGTTTAATGTTAATGTTTGTGTTTAGGTTTGTTTAAAGGAAACGACTTATGATAAGTCAATGGTATTTGGTATGCAGTTATATTAGCATTGTCTCATCTCATTTCCATGGATATTGTTTATCCATGTACCTTCAGTCATGGTTCATTGACTTTGAATATTTGCATAACTTACATGTTAAAGTATTGCTATTTTAATTTCAACATTTGCATTATCAAAATTGCAAAAAAGAGAGACATATCTCTGTGTTAACAGTTTATTATTCGAGCGTCACTGATGAGTCTGTAGTACGCATCTGGCGTACAAAATGTTTATTCATGGTATCTATGATGAGTTTATATGTTAGTGAGATTCGTCAATCGTTAATGGTTGTTAACCTTAATCGATTTCTGTTCTAGTGTTGGATTATTTTTATAAGCTTATTGATATGCACCAATCACAGCTGATGCTATGTTTTATTTGTTTATCAAAAGTATTTAAAAGGAATTATTTATTAGATATTGTTTTCGTTTTTTGAACTTATTGGTTTATCGTTGTATAATTATTTAATGTTCGATTAGCTCATATACAGCACAACTGTCAATAAATACTTTCGATTAACGTAATAGGACTCTGATATATTTTCGCGGTCACGTTGTTGTAGGAAAAAAAATGTCGATTTAAATACATACACTCATCATAAGTACCAGGATCAAAAAGTTGAACGTCAGACGCGCGTTTCGTCTCCAAAAGACTCATCATTGACTCTCTACTCCAAACTTTAAAAAAAAAGGCTGAATACAGTGCAAAATTGAAGACCATTGAGGACCCATAATTCTGAAAGATTTTGCCCAATACAGCTAAGGTAATCAACCTTATCCTGGGGTAGAAAATCTTTCTTATTTCGAAAAATTCAAAGTTTTGTAAACATTTTATCTAAAATAAGACCAAATCAATATCCGGTTGTCTGCTAACGGATTCTACCTAGATCAAAGGGAAGGTGTATTGGAGTTTAAACAAATGCAAGTTGTTCGAATACATTTTTTCTATCAGATCACTTTTTTTCTTAAGTCCACTGGCCAGTAGAGCAAGGTTGGCACGTTGCATTCAAATATGGGTACAAAGACAAAATTACCAGTTTCAAATTACTTCAATCGAAATCATATACATATATATTGAATGTAAACACTTTTTTTTAGTGTTTGCTCTAAATATCGAAATAATTTTTCACATTTCTTTTAAGGATTTTCAAATTAAAATAAAAAAAAATATTCAGATTTGAATTTTTGCTGAAAAATAAATTTGAAAAAAAAAACAAGCAAATTCTGCTCCACATGTAGCACCCGTCGTGTTGCTCGTGTAAGTACAATCCAGGTGACAAGTCTCATTCTGAAGGTCACATTCGCGGAAAACTTTATAAAAATAATCCGTGAAATTAATATTAACTATGAAAACTGTTGCAGGCCTCAGTCTAAACTTATTTCTGCAGTCAAACTATTAAGGAGTATACGACAAAGTGAAACGTTGAACAGTAAATCACCACCTTAACAAATATGACAAAAATACTCGAGTTATTTGCTTAGATAATATGACTAAACAACTTGAAAGAGGAGGGGTCATTATAAACCGTAAAATAACATTTAAGAAGTTAAGAGGGTAAAGAATACTCCTTGTAGACATGCATAGATAAAATGTCGTAATAATATATTCAATATTGGTAAATATTGAAAAGTAAAAATCAATAATACTTATAACATAAAAAAAAAATAAAGTCTCACTTGTATACTAGTATTCAAAAATTTTATGAAAATATGTAAAAAAGATGGATAATTGGAAGAATAAAAAGCTATCAATTTTAAACAAAGTATTAAAGAATGACATTAAAAGTGAAAAGGTATGGGATTCTTATATATAATTGAAACAAACAAGTGGAATGCATAGTACTGTGATATATCAAACAAAGATATAGGACATGTATAAAAGCAACAATATATTTAAGCAATAAGCAATTAACTGACGCTGAATACGGGTAAAATAAGAGCTCAAAAGGCCTCAGAAAATCGAGTTGTTAAAACAATGTTAACATTTAGTAAAGAGTTTCTCTTGGTTAAGCTATATTGTCGTTTTAGAATTGCATCCCTTGAAACGATCAATTGAACTTAAGGTACAGTCATTAGTAAATAGCAAGCCACAGAAAGTTTAGTGAACTGACGTTCATTGTTTTGATTTTATTAAAATAAATCTATCATATATTGCAACAGTTTCATTCAATGAATAAACCCTGACATAGTTTGATGCATTACCATTCAATTCACATTTCGGAAAAGAACTAAAATGATATTCAACTGTTCACTCTGGCTTTCTGTAAAGATACATTTGTTGCACGACTATTTTGTATTGCTTCTATGTATCAAGTGTTTAGTAATATAACTAGACTTACTATCAAAGCTTAGAGTCTTGGTTAAAAAAAGTAAATGCTTGCTTATAAAAAAAAACACACGCCGAAAAATGTCTGTATCAAATGTAGAAGTATGAAATATTTAATGTCTTGTAAAATTAAGTATCAACGATTTACGTAAGTTGGATGTATATTTTTCCGTTGATGGTAATTTGACAAAGATTGCGATTTTTGTTGATATAACTTAAAGGCGAGTTGAGTAGTGCGCCGATTTTACTTGTGACCACGACTTAAATAGACTGCAAATACCATCTGAGCAGCCAATTTTTGATAAATTTCTCCAGAACTGGTTTTTAAAATTAACATCAGATTATTATTTGTCATACTACTATTATGCATTATTAATTTGTCATTAGATTATTACGCCTTTTAAACTACAAAAGTGTTGAAAGAGCGACAACGAAAGGTCTCATATTTTAAGCTAATAGTTTGAGATATTTAAGGCTTAATTGAATTATGATATTAAGATTTCCGAATGGTCAACAATAATTATTTAAAGAGTAAACAACAAATTTTTATATTTGGTTACTTGGGCCACTGGTCCATTTTATACAAGTTATCACCGATACGTGTATGTGTGGTGTATGATGTTCAATACCGTTTATACATGTATAATGGTGCTTAAATTCAGGATTGAAATAGTTAGTGAATAGCATATATTGAATATCAATGGTTAGATAAAATTATTAAAAAGAAATTTATTCAAGAAAGAGCTAAGACCCGTTTGCACGACTTTGGTAAACTTTAATGTGACTAACATGATTATCGCTTTATAATACATTCCGTAAAACAAAAAGGTTTTCTTAACACTTTTTTAAATATGGTATATTGGAAACATATACGTTTCACAACCTTAATAGTACATGCCATTTTAAACAAGTCAGCAGCTATCGATGCTTTTTAAAGTGAATTTAGCTTTAACATGTAGAGTTTAAAAGAAATATTTGTGATATATTGTGTCCTGCAAAATTTTGTGTTTGTTTTTGTCCCCTTTGATATTCTCCTCTTTATGTATAATACCTTGTCAATATTAGAAAATGAATATTATAGTATTTTGTATGGACTTTTTCATATTGGCCCTGTAACATGCCCGAGGTATTAATAATGACCAAGGATGGTTGTAATGGCCCCGAGGCAGCGCCGAGGGCCATTACAACTTTCCGAGGCCATTATTAATACCAAGGCCATGTTACAGGGCCAATATGAAAAAGTCCATATATTGATACTTTTATTAACCAACTAAAGCAACTTCATTCAAGAACAGTCTTCGAGTTTCGGATCCAAATACAGCTAACCACGAATCTATAACAGGACCAATACAAAAAAAAAGCCAGTTCATAACACTTTTATTACCGTAAATGGTTTTAATTCTTCGATTAAACAAAGAGTAAGAATCTTACCGTGAAGAAGATACAGGAATTCATAGACATAGCTGAACTTGTCTTATCGCATTCACGATGGATTTTTGTTCAACATTGTCAGATGTAATTTCTGATTTCTCATCCAAGTACTTTATTTTATGCTATTACAATTCATTTCTAGCAAATATAAAGTAGCTGGGAAGAATAAATCAGACAGTTTAACTATTCTTACTCGGAGAAGTCTGCGTTCTGATAATTGATCAACGGAAATGAAACAGTGATAATAATCGAAAGTCGTACTCGAAAAAGTGGAGGAAAGATACAGAACAACAACAACAAAGGCTGTGTAATATTTCCGTTTCAAGTCGTTACAAAACACTGAACATCATTTAAACTTTTTTTATTATGATACTAAGTTAAAAAAAATTGAAAAAAGTTGTCACTTATTTGAAGAAATAAACGACATTTTGATTTAATCGATATCCCGTTT